CAGATTATTATTAGGCCGTTGGCTTCATGCACATTGATTTAGGAGCTGCAGGTTCAGTTTCCTTAAGGGAGCGAGTTGGCCATTGATTTATCTTGAAACCCCGGACGTGGTCATCGCTGTGACCTTGACGTGAACACAAGAAGACAAAACCTTTAATATCTCTCGTGTTTTTGACAACTGCCTGGATGAAAGAAAGAAACATATTTAATCTCAGCTAAGAGTGTAGCGATGTTTCCATGTTTCATCAGACCCTGTCCAAAACCTCACCTTTTATTATGAACCTCTAAATATCCTTCCTCACTACGTTCTTAAATCTGTTCTTTTCCTCCCGCCTGGTGTCAGTAGATCCACCGACTCTCCTCTCCTCTCATCGACAACTATATTGTCAAACCGTTCGACCGTAGCAGTTCCTCTGGTCTGCTGTTGACGTCACACTGTCCATTCTGATCAGTCTTGATCCCTGCCTCCTCTAGTTCAGCCCCCTGTCTTTTGGACAGAGTTACTGCCTCAACACTTTTTTACACTATTTTACAGACCTTCCCTTTTATCGTTGCTGCCCCACATCATCCTCATCACTCCTTACCTTCCTGTCACCTCCATCACACTCACCTCCGTTCTCTTTTCTTTTCTAGAGCATGATGCAGTCTTCAAACCACCGACTGCGAGACATGGAGCAGCACCACCCGCTGCTGTCCTCAGGTACAGATGTGGAGTCAGGGAGCCTGGCGGCCGGAGTGATTGTTGGGCCACATCACGGGGGCCACGGCGCAGGGAACCGCCCCATGTGGTTCATTCAGGACAGCTGTGGTATGGTGTGTGCCACCATGACCTGGTTCCTGGTGCTGTACGCCGAGTTTGTGGTCAACTTTGTCATGCTCCTGCCCGCGAAAAACTTCTGGTACACGCTCCTGAACGGGGCCTTCTTCAACTCGCTGGCCGTGCTCGCGCTGGCCTCACATCTGCGGACCATGCTGACGGACCCGGTGAGAACTGGAAAAGGATGGAAAGACATTTGTAAAAAAAAAAAACAAACAAAACATTTGTAAACATTATTTCATTATTTACTACAGGTTTTACTGAAAGTGGTTTTTAATTCAATATTATAATTTAATCAATTCAAAACTAATATTCAGAACCGGTCAGTATTTAAATTTATTAAAGTTTATGTCCATTTCTTTTCTATGTTCTGCCAAAGACATTTTTCATTTTAGTAGATTTTTTTATTTATGTTGACACTTTCCACAGTATTTGAGCTGTGCTGCAACAATGACTCAGACTTAGTCAGAAAAAAAATATGTCGCAATGCCACGCCAACAGCCCAGACTTGGCTACTGCTACATGGAGGCTAGGCTAACTAAGAATAGTCTAATATACTTAGTTCAGTTCAATTCCACGTTCTGTTCACACTGGTCACGGAGATAACTCTAAAGCAGTGGTCAGCAACTGTCGGCCCGTGGGCCAAATCTGGCCCACCGAACCTTCCAGTCCGGCCCTTGACTGGATTGCAAAATAAATGTGATTTTTATTTCCTTGTATCTATGTGCCTCCGACAAATACAGTTGGTGATAAAGTACTGCGTCAGATAAAAATGTGATTTTTAGTTCCTCGTATTTGAGTGACAAATACAGTTGGTGATAAAGTACTGTGTATTTACCTGTTGCTGACGGTGTTCTTTTTTGTTGCCTCTCTGTGTCAGGGGGCAGTGCCCAAGGGCAACGCCACCAAGGAGTACATGGAGAGTTTGCAGCTGAAGCCCGGTGAGGTCATCTACAAGTGTCCGAAGTGCTGCAGCATCAAGCCAGAGAGGGCGCATCACTGCAGGTCTGTGTTAGCGCTGCCGTGGTTCATCATGAAGAAGAAGAAGAAGAAGATGGTGGTGGTGACTTCTATATCAGCAGCTAAAACCGACGTCTTTTTCTCTCTCCTGTGCACAGTATTTGTAAAAGATGCATCAAGAAGATGGATCACCACTGTCCCTGGGTCAATAACTGTGTGGGAGAAAAGAATCAGAGATTTTTCGTTCTATTCACAGTAAGTACAGTCAGAAATGGACGACAACAAAATGCAATATTTGTTTTTATTTTATACAGGTGGTTTTCATACCATGACAAGTACTGACATGGAGTACTTCCTCCTCACCTGATGCCGATGTTCTAGTGTAATAGGCCAAGGGTGTTTTTTATGCAACATAAACAGCGCTGACACATATAGTTGACCAGGACACGGTCACTGCTCTGTGAACATTTACGTCTGTCCTCCTTTTCGACCGCCCCACATAGAACAGTTCAGAAATAAAAAAGTACAAAAGCAAAAGTCCAGACGTTTTCAGAGTAAATCTAAGGGTGAGATGAAGCCCATCTGTCTGTCTCTCCCCTCAGATGTACATAGCCCTGATTTCTGCTCACGCCCTGGGCCTCAGTGGAATTCACTTCTTCAGCTGCATCAAAGTACAGTGGAATGGTAAGAGTTCTGAGTCATAAACTTTGACAGAATTTGATAAAAAAAAAACAAAAAAACATTTTTTGACTTTGAAACAAATTTATGGAATCAAGTGATTGGTTGTTATTGCACAAACCTCTGGAGATGTCACAGCAGATGTTGGAGTCATTATCACCACTCTGCCCCCAAGTGGATGTCCTCATTGAAAAAGAAAAAGAAAAATTCATTTATAGCTTTTTTTGACCTCGATAGTTTGATTCTAAATATGAGTTTTTAAAAGTTTTAAATCTAGGTAAAAACGTCTTATACAAAAACGCTAGTAATTTTTTTTTACTTTACAACATTAGCAAAATGTCACACAGTGGAACTTTGAACTTAGTGGTCTGTTTTGTCATTTCAAACATATTCACCATAAACATACTGAAGTGTTTGTGTGTCTGTGTCTGTGTCCAGAGTGCAGCGAGTTCTCTCCAGGGGTTTCTGTGTTGCTCCTCATCTTCCTCTGCCTGGAGGCCATCCTCTTCCTCACTTTCACCGCCGTCATGTTCGGTACACAGATCCACTCAATCTGCAACGACGAGACGGTCAGTATTAATGACACCTCGCAGTTTCTGTTTTCAAAAGAGCTATTTTAGAAAGCGATGACTCAAGGTTAGAGCCGAGTTGTTTCTTGGTTTTCAGTTTAAATACAGCTCACTTGGATGTTGATGAGTTTTTTAGCTAAAAAAAACTGATGGTCTCCGTCGTTAACTTTAAGTCCTCGACTGTTAACCTAATTTCTTATTTATTCTTTTGATCCTCTCGCAGGAGATCGAACGTCTTAAAAACGAGAAGCCCACGTGGGAACGCCACGTACGATGGGATGGAATGAAAGCTGTGTTCGGGGGTCCGCCCTCGTTGCTGTGGTGTAATCCCTTCACTGGTCTACGTCTGCGGCGCGTGCTACTGCTGACCCAAGGCCGCCGCGGTGGATCAGAGTTCTCCGTCTGATGAGAACGGATCTATTGAACTCATCTGAAGCCAGATTTGTTTTCTTCTTGGACGTGCATTAGATGGACCACTCCTCCCTGAGTCTGTGACGGGGGGGTTGGGGGGGTGGAGAGACTGGCTGGAACCCAGGGGGCTCATCAACTACCAGAGGATGGGATGTAAACTTATCACCTTCAGTCTGCACAAATGTCCTGGACAACTGGGATGTTGTTGTTGTTTTCTAACATGAGCAGATTCCCAAGTGTTTTTTGGAGTAAAGCATGCAGTATCTAAAACACAGCGTCATTCTTTCATGTACCCGTTCAAGGTGCTGCTTGAACTCAAGGGAGGTCGAGCGCCGCACCATCAGTTCTTCAGACGATCGATTATTCCACGACGCACAGGAGGAGGTCAAACGTTAAAATTAACACGTCTTTTTATGGTCAGCGTCTCTTAAAGGATAAATGTTCCAAACTTGTGCCACTTTCAAACGAGGAAAACATGTCTCACAGGACGCTGGATACAACGGCAGGATCCAGAATTGTCACGGACCACAGAAATGATACCTGAAATTTGCATGTTTGACAGCTCAGTCTGTCAGATCCCCGGGCCGCAAACGGCTGCAAACACGGACCGAGCGACTTTTCGTATCAGTCCATCTCCTCCGTCGTGGTTTTTTTCCCGCCTCAAATGACAATTGTTTTTGGGTTTTTTTAAATTTTACTCAAGCCAGTATGCATTTATCGCCCTTTTACGAAAACCTGCTGAATATTGTGTAAGTTTCATTATAGTGACCAGTCATCTGTTGACTATTCTAGAGGAAGAATGAACCTTTTCTATGTCACGTTGTACAGGTGACCATTTTGCTACCCCCATAAACCTCAGTATGTGTGTGCACGTGTGTGTGTGTGTGTGTTTGGGTTACCAGGTGATGCAGGTTGAACACGGTGGCGTGGAGTGCCACTGAATCCACAGCAAACATTAAAAGCAGAGATGGTTCGGCCTGTTGGGAAAGATGCATTTAAAACCAGAGAAAAGTTGATCTTGGGTTTTGATTGACACTCGAGCAGAGTTTCCTGGAAACTCCTGCGACATTTAGAAAACATCAGTCCTGTGATTTGTGTCAGGACTGAAGTAAACACTTATTTAAACACTTCATCTCTGCCTTCAGAATCATTCAGATCAGTGAGTTCATATCATTGTTGCCGACATTTTGACAGTGTTTTCTTTTTTCTTACGACTGCATCAGTAGTGATGAACCTGGTTGCACTGATGAATGTGGCCTTTGTTTTTTTGTTTTTTGTTTTTTAAGGAGTGTAAAAAAGAAAGCTCTGGACCAGGCTAGAAAATGTCACTGTGTTGTCAAGTCTAGATTCTCGGCATCTTGTTTTTGTATTTGATGATATTTTGCTGTCTGTCTGTTCCGACCTGTGGTTGTTAGGAGTTAGAACGCTCCACCGTTTACACTAAATGAGGACAAAAGGACAAATGCTACCATTAGAATGTAATGTTTATCCAGGGGCTAAGGGACGTACGGTGGAATCAGAGGATTTTGGATGAGGCAATCTTATTTTATTCTGTATCATTAGGATGGTGACCTGTACCTTCTTTGACTATGACGTCTGCACTGAACACAATCCATTGAGTAAAACTCTGATAAAATGCTGCCTGTAAACGATGACCTTTTTTTTTATTAAATCCAACCTAATCATCTTTAATTTCACTTCAAATCCTCTCATAACAACACAACAATAATCCACTGAAGTGTTGCTGTTGTTGCAGAGTAAGAACAATCTGACGTACAGTCACTGAGTTTTTTTTAGCCAATTTGACACAATCTCAAGTGAATAAACAAAATTGAAAAAACTAACAAAAATTGGCGTCTTCACAACAGCAAACCCTCACCTGCTCTATGTTCAGTCAGGGTTTCAGTGGTTCTAAAGCCGGGGTTCGCTAAAGCAGAGTGACCGAAAGAAACCCACGCACACGCGGGGTAAAACACACAAAGTAGGTCGAACCAGGGATTGAACCGGCAAACCAGTGATCCTCCTGCTGTGAAGGCAGAACCTAATAACCATCATTTGAGGAATTTTGTCTGTTGTTTGAAAAGATCCATAAAAATGATCTCATAACATTTTACTGTATTACCAGTTACTTCATTGTGCGTATTGTTTTTGGCTCTTTATAATAAAGTAGAAGAGATTTTTTACCATGGACTTTTTAATTTATTTTTTTATTTTTACCACCATTGTGACTGTTAATAGTGTGAAAAGAGAAAAAGGACCAGAGTCTGCAGCTGCAGTTTGACCCACAGCGCCCTCTACTGATAACCTGTGGATCAGCGAGAAAACCCATGCAGGCACAGAGAGAACGTCTGAAAGAAGGACAATTATTATTGTATGTATTTAAACCAGTTTTCTTCAAAACACGCTAAACCTCTCGTTCTTTTTAGATTTTCTTCAAATCTACACAACAGTGTAGATTTTTGCTTTTATACGATTAAAAAACACAAACACTACTTTATTTCAGTGTTCACTTTTAATGGAGACGTCATTAAATGGACACCAAGTCTGCATTATTTTGTAAACTAATAGAAAGGTCTCCACTAAATTGACAATGAATTTTTTAAAAAGAAAAAAACTGTTGACACTCGTGGATTTGATCAACAAATACTATTCCATTAAAAAGACACTTGATTTGCTTTTTTAAAAAAATCCCTAAATTCTTCTTTAGAAAGTGATTTTGTGACTTCCACAGAGAGGAACGCTCTCACTAAAACTCTGCCTGCTGGGCTGGTTTGCCAACAGTTTAAATATTGAACACTGTTCTGTGCATCAGCAGCCAAAGACACAATGTTCAGCTGGACAGAGATGAAGAGACGCTGCTCATTTACAAAGACGTAAATGTCGCCTTAATAACAAACAAATGTCATCGTAAACTTCACAGAACAAATCGACATCAGATCCACACGTCTGTGAAAATTGCCACCGGCTCGGCGATCACATCTTTTTCCACCACTCCTTTAACTTTCACCACATCAAAACTCAAACTGTAAATTATATTTAGAGAATATAAACACTGAAACCAAGAACTAGAGAGTGTTTTACCAACAACAAAATAAATACTTCTCGGTTTCATAGCCATTTCCTGCTACATGCTACGCTCCTGTTAGCATGTGTGTGTTTTTTTTTTGTGCAGGTCAAAACCTGTTTCTAAAAAGTCCTCATTTCTTTACCACCTTCTCCAGGTAACCAATGAATCTTCTCAGGTTGACCTTGATGTTGTCTAACACACACAGCTGCTGAGGGCTGTACTTTCCTCTGCCCTCTTTACGGATCTAGAAAAACAAAGATCAACGTGTCAATACACTCACGTATAAATATAACTATACACATACTATACATATATATTAAATATATACATACAATACAAAGTGCAAAAAAGTTAAAAATGGTTAAAATGAACAAAATGAGGTCATCAAGTAATGTTTATTAAACAACAGTATACCTGCCCCCTTGTGGTCACGGAAACTCCTGAAGTAAAATGTTCAGAAAGAAGAAATCATTTTTAAACCTTGGCCTTGAAGACAGGCTGAAGTGCCTTCAGTGCAGGCAGTAACTGGATGTTCTTAGCAGCTGTTTCCGCCTCGTCTCCGTCAGCAAAAACATCAAACAAGGCGTCGAGGGCTTCACCGTTCACAACCAGGTCAGTGTCCCTGGTGGCCACTTCCAGTAAGGCACTTCCAATCATCTGTGAAAACACAGGGTCTGAGAGAAAAAGGGCAGAACACTCCAAAAAACACAAAACTAAGGCAGTTGAATTTGTACCTGAACGGTTTCAGCCGTGCCTTTCTCTTTGGCTAAAGTGCTGCCGGTGATGCCCAGGATGGCTACGGCGTTGACCCTCACGCTGACAACGTCGCAGCGAGTCGCGGCATCGCTCAGGCTCATCAGCTGCTGAGGAGTCATACACTGGGACAGAGATGACATCGTTAAAAAAAAACAAACTTCTAAACAGAAAAAAACACAACCAGAAAAAGCAATCGTTTAGGTTTGAGTTGCGTTTTATTTTCTCACTGTTCTTAATCACTCTTTTCTGGGATCTACATTCTACTGCATGTATTATTTTACATACATTTTCTTTTGTTTGTTTCCAGATTTTTTAAATTGTTTGTATCATTTTATATTCAACTGTAATTTCAGATGAAGCCACTAGATAGCGGCAGACATCAAATGTGCCAAATCTTCTAAGAAGGTTTAGGTTTAATCTTGTACAGATTATTGTATTTTTTACCCAAACATTCTACACTCAACCGATACTGAACTGTTGTATCAGTCAAGTTTTCTCACCCTGTTCTAGAACAATAAACCCCAGTGTTGTAACCGTGTGTACAGATTAAAAACGTGCTCTGTTCTTTACCTGTGGAATATTTTTAGAAGCAATCATCTGTAACAGTGAGCGCATGGCACTGATGACGGCCTCCAGGAACTCCTCGTCCTTGGTTATCTCTGAATGTAAGAAGAAAACAGTCACTAAATCAGTCCAACAACATGGATGACATTTTCTCTACTCATCACATCAGCTACTGACCCAATTATTAACGGTTCTTTTGTTTTCATAAAACAATGATGTGTGCTACCTGCTGCTCCAAAGACCAGCGAGGAGAGATGCTGCGCTGCTGCCTGTAAGGCCGCTGCTCCTCCCAGACACTCAGCGTCCATGGTGGACAGAAGACTGTGGAGACAGGTCAGAGCGCGGGACTGGACTCGCCTCATCCTGTAGAGACACGGTTGGTGTGATTGACATAATGAGAGCGACTATGCAGAGTGAACGTAGAGAGGATTTACTTTTTGATCAAGCTCCTCCAGGAGGAATTCTGATGACAGACATTAGTGACTTCTTCTGTGGGGAATTCCGTCTTTTTGAGGACCTGTTGCATTAACACAGTTGCATTAACACCGGAGCACTGGTGTGAGTGACATAATGAGAGCGACTATGCAGAGTGAACGTAGAGAGGATTTACTTTTTGATCAAGCTCCTCCAGGAGGAATTCTGATGACAGACATTAGTGACTTCTTCTGTGGGGAATTCCGTCTTTTTGAGGACCTGTTGCATTAACACAGTTGCATTAACACCGGAGCACATGCAGAACAACATACTGCGCAGGTCGTGACTGTTACTCTGACTGATGGACACTTGCCTTCTCGGGGATGCTGTGGTTGATTAAAGCTCCCTGAACCTCAGCCGACAAACACAGAGGAGACATCAGGCCGGATTCTGGACCATCTGGACACATGTCGCTATCGTCGCTGCTGGACTCCTCCTCCCACTCGTCGTCAGAGGGGTCTGAGGAGACAAATACACACTTAGAAATCCTTACAAAAAAAATTGATTTCTGCTTTTGTACCTGATTAAATGCTTCAGAAGAAACAAACTCACTCACCGTCAGAGCAGCACATGTTGACTATTATCTCTAAGGACGTTTGCTGAGCTGTTAGTAAAGCCGTGGCCTCCCTCAGCTCCTCTTTACCCCTCTGGAAAAACAAAACATAAAACTAATAAATAAGAATAATAATTACATAAGGAAATTATATATATGTAACAAAAAATACACTATATGAGGCACCATTAATCTTGCAATATTATCTGTCAGATATTAGCATAATTATGCAATATCCGTAAAAGTCGTTGTCAGTTTTTCCTCCGATAATAACGCGAAGCCTGGGTTTAGCCAAAATATACCAGTATCGGTTGATATCAAATCGGAAATTAAGTGTTTGGACAATATCGGATATCAACAAAAAGTTAATATCAAACATCCATAGATGTGAAGCACAGACACTTTTTACATGCATGGGCAACAAGATTAAAAAAAACTAGACACCACTTACCGGTAGGAGGTCGGAGATGTCGGTGTCAACTTTCACTGCTTTTCCATTCCTACGTTGTGGCACCTCCTCCTCGTCCTCCTCCATCTCCTCCACAACAAGACCAGCAGCTGCGTCATCTCCATCTGTTACAGCCGGTGCGTCCCTGTCACGGTCCTCCTCTGCTCGTCTCAGGTCAAGTAAGACCCCGTTGGCGTCCAGGTCCAGGCACCGTGACAGGGTGGCCACCACGGCACCGAGACCCTGGGCCTGACGAGCAGCAGGGATGTTTCCCTTCATGTTCCACAGAGATCCTGAGTGACACAAACACATTGACGACTTTTGATATTGTACACGTCGAAGTCCAGTTGTTTTCGAGCTAAGACGTCGACTGCTACTAAAATCAGCACTCGGTTGAGTTATACCTGCAGCTAAAGTCCTGAGCAGAGTGTGGGCCATGCTGGACTGCGATGACATCAGCACTGCCTCCAGGGCGTTGAGCACGGTGGCGTTGACGCTGCACAGCAGCTCCGGGTTATCTTCAGTCACAGTGTGTAAACAGTGGGCTGACAGGAAGCAAAGAGCAAATGTCTTCGTCATCTCTAGTCATCGTCAGACATTATTATCACACTGGGGACTTGGTCAATTCAATCAAATTCTATGAGCTGTTATATAATAGTGATGCACAGACACAGCAGGTCAGTGTCTAACTGCCCTCCTGGGGAGATTATTTAAGTTTCCTAATTGTGTGAATAGGTTGAAGTTATACTGACACCAGGGAAGAAGACAAGAGCAAGGAATACTGTATGATTAGTTCTGTTACATAAACAGTGACTCATGGGTCTTAGCACCAAAACCACTAATGTCTGTTCAGTCTGTTGAGTCTAGTTCATATCACCAAGTCATTCTTTTTGTCCAGAGTTCTTTGACTAACATCGTGTTTATTACTTGAAACCTGGGAATAGTCCGACTCAGAATAAGTGACACCTTAGTGTTAAAGCTCTGCTCACTTTCTGTGGAGTTGACTGTGTCAACTATACAGAAAGGACATAAACATATATGGTCTAATGTGTCGACAATGTCAGTTTAAACATGTTTTTTTTTTAATTCAGAAAGTTGTTTTTTCCTTTTGTTGCATTATTATTGAATCCTGTCAGAAAACAGTATCAGTGACCCATGACCATAGTACTAAGGGTGAGCACTGAAAAGGTATCACCCTTTTAGGCGTATAAGTACAGTATAGCTGGGAATTGTAAAAACATGATCAGGTCTCACCAGCAGAAGTCGCCAGTTCCACGTTGTCGGGGTGTCGCTCCAGACACTGGACGACCAGGTCCAGGAGACCTGCTCTGTTGAACACAGACAGGGCCTGGCTGCTGCTCTCACTGGAAGGACGGCATCACAGGAGTGGTGTTAGACTACAGTGGTATTGCACCTCCATTTAAGACGTTAACGTCTTGCCTTACCATAGGTTCCAAAGGAGGTTCAAGGCCTCATTGGCTATGTCCTCAACTGCATTCTTTTCGTCTTTCATTCGAGCAACAGCACTTTCAAAACCAGCGCAGCACTGGCGAGAACAGGGGAGAGACAAACAGTTTAATTTTGCTGCCATTATTCATGTGGAAAAATAAATAATAAAATCAATGTCATTTCCACACATATGAGGAAACAGGCTAAAATATGGACATGTTCAGACTTCAGTTCAGGACCAGGACCTTAAAAATATGAACACTATTTCTTCACCACTGTGTACCAGCAGCAGGTTCATGGCATGGCCGCCTGTATTATTAAGAACAACAGTGAATTTTCTTTCGTTCGACACTGACAGTAACCTAAAGTTTTTACTCTGACAGCTGCTGATGAGACAGTAGTGCGTGGGTTGAGGTGAGAGCAGTGGAGCAGGAGTCTCACCTCTCTCAGCAGCGCTGTCAAAGGAGTCATGATGTCATTCTTCACCATGGTCTCACACACCTCCTGACCTCCACACGCACTCAGATTCCTGTTGGGGAAACACAGGTACAGATACACGCTGAAAAACTAAAGACTTGTATAAAACATGCAAAGTCATGCAAAAAACAAACGAACAAAGGAGTTGGTAACACGACCTTGTATCAACTACCACTACACTTACTATAGGATTATAATATATAGGGCACGTATAGGTAACAAAATGCAGATCGGCTCTCCGTTCAGGATGTAATTATCATTGTTAAAATGAAAAGGAATTCAAAATACAAATGTCAACTGTCGTTCAAAATGCATAAAATCCACTTGTAATCCTAAAAAAAAAACCCAATAATGACATCATCATAATGGGCTGGAGTTACTCTCTCTGGTTCAGAAACACAACATTGCTCACATACAAAAGCACAATATTACACCTCAAAGCACAGCAAACCCGGGGATGGTCTGGCTCTGCTGCACCACCCGAGAGATGCTGGCACATGCAAACTCCCGGACATCTGCACTCGGACTCTGCAACTGTGGAAACACGCATTGTAATATGTTGGGGTTTTGTTAATCAAAGCGTCTCCTGCAATTATTAGTTTTAATTTTAATGTGCATAGAGTTATTCAAGGCTTAAGGATTTTTTAAGTTTTAACTGATAATTTTTTTGTAGTTCCTAACAGAGAAATAGCTCAGTTCAAGTTAATTTCGTGAACCAAGCACTTTTAATAAAACCAAAAAGGCAGGAAACAAAATAACTTAATGTTGTTAAACAGATAGTAAACACTGACAAGACATTTATTTCAGATACACGTGTGTGTTCACTAGTGAATGCTGTGACCAACATAGGGCACGTGACAAAGCGTTAACAACTTCAGATATTTTAACGACGTTTAATAAATACTCTTTATAAACTCTGGCCTTCTGTTATCGGACTCCATGTAGTGAGTTATTCCTTATGTCTTGGCGATAACAAACACGAATCACTCTACGGTAAAATTGCGTCATATTTTATTGACCCGATTAGTTGCGTCTTATGTATATGCAGACTAATAATTCGATGTCAAATAAATCTTAATAAGGCAGGAAATCTCAGTAAATGAACCCATTAAATTAACACGTGACTATTTTGAAGTTGTGTTGGGTAAATGATCAAATAAATCTTAAGGCATGAAATCTCAGTAAATGAAACCATTAAATTAACACGTTACTATTTTGAAGTTGTGTTGGGTAAATGGTAACGCCAACACGACTGCAAATGTTTGAATGAGTTCAACAATCATAACAATAATTCTATGTGTAATTAAAACCACAAAAAAACATTATTGGACGACATTCCTACTTTTTCCAGCAACTCGCCAGCGGGACAACTCTCCTCGCCGTTCGGCTCTTCCTCAACGTTGAGTTCCTGCACGGCATTCGCCGGCAGCCCGACCGCGTTGATTCGCGGGCGTTTAAATTTGTTGGTCTTACTTTTACCCATGGCTCTTTCTGTTGAAGAGTAACCTGTGCATGTAACGTTTTTTTTCTTATTATTTATATCAGTTGAAACAAACACCACCTTCGGCAACAGCCAGGTTGGTAAAGGCCATGTGGAAAAGCGAACACTGCCGTAAAGCAGTTTCAGCTAACAGAAAACACTGGGGCCTGTCGCAAAGCACAAACGCAACAGTCTGTAACAACTACGTGAAAGCAATCTGTGTCGCGCTGCAACGAGGCCAAAACAACAACAACAAAAACAAAAAACAAGACATTTACGCATAGAGTATTTATTTGGTAAATCATTTTAAAAATATAAACATTACGATAAAATATACAATGGGCATAAGAAACAAATCTGAACAAGTCTGAAGACACACATCAGGGATAAAACAGGTCAGTTGGAGTGTGTGAGCAGATCAGCAGCATCAATTGCTACATCAACACTGTTAATAAAAAAGCCCCCATCACTTCTTTTTTTTTGCCTTATGTCCTGCAAATGTATTCCCATTACAACAAGTCTGACCACCCAGTGGTCACTGTGTCACTGAGAGACCAGAAAAACACCATGGTGTCCGGAGAGCCCACATAGGCCAGTGGCTACTGAATGTTTGGTCGAGGTTTGAGAATTAGTTTACCCGTCTGTGGAAAAACAGAACGAGAAAAAAAAAGACAAGTTTAGAGATAATACTTAATAATAATAATTGAGTCCCTTATTTGTCCTGCAAACGACATGTGCTGCCACAGGAGACACCATTAGAGATATGTGGTTCTCTCTATTGCTTTTTAATGCAGGCATGCTACTGTATACTATAGAAACACATCATACTCACGTCATCACAGGACATGTTGTATTCTGCTAAAACTGTTCGACACCGAGCAGCAATACTGAAGAAGCAAATGTTAAAGATGTAAACCAGTAATTTGCTAAAATAAAAAAAAAGTTACTATGGACTCATTGACTTGCCAAGTCCTAGTTTTCCTCTTTTTGTCCCTTTTTACTGATATTTGTGTATCTTTAAAATCCAAAACATACAAGGCCAAAGATGTAGATATTTAAGATAAAGAAAAATCCAAAACATACAAGACCAAAGATGTAGATATTTAAGATAAAGAAATATATATCAAAATATATAGGTTTTTTAAAATAAAGGATACATTGATGGTGCCACAACCCGTTTGTGTATCCCAGCAAAGAAGAGGGCTATAAGGGTGATGCAACTGATTGTGAAGAAGGGATGATTCCATAGTGATGAAAAGAAGGAGACCTAGAAAACACATTGCCAAAGAGTGATGAACATCACAAAACAAAATTACCAAATGTCTCACAATATCTTTTCACTTCATCATTCTCATTTAAAACCAAATGATTTTGTGAAAACATACCTTTTGAGTGTCAGGATCTATTAGCCAGTTCCAAGCCCCAGTGGCCGTACACACAGACACAAAGATCAGGATCACTGAAACGGCAAAAGATAATAACATCCCAGGTTAAACGCTCAAACCTCCAACATTACTGGTCAAAACAAGCTCTACGTTTTGTGGTTTTTCTTGCACATACACATTTTGCAATGTTGCCTAGTACTTATCAGTTTAAACTAATCCCAAATGATAGTGATACCAATTGTTGAACTTGAAAGATTAAAGTTCATTTTGATGCTGAGGGAACTTCGGTTCAATAAGGGACACTTACTTGAGAATTCCCTTTAAATGTTATCTTTAAGTATTAAAGCATCTTGTTTCAGAACTTTCACTGTTTTGAACAACTAACAAACTTATAAATAAAATAAACTATGAGGTAGTTTATAGACTGAAGTAAATCACTAATATGTTCTATTATTTCTCTGACAACATTTACTAACAGCTACTTACTTCTCCACCTGCCTGTAGCAGGTTGTAAACAGGACACATACTCGGTCAGTCTTCTCTCAAAGGCCTTCAGGTCTGAAACAAGAAAGGACACAGTAAATCCAGACTTAACTTCAATCTGTTATCACCACGAATGTGACATTATCGGATGTGTAGCACTCACGAGATAAGCCAAATGTTTATTGCCGGTTTAGGTTCATCTATGCCTTAAAAGCTATTTACAGTTTTGGTTTCCATTCGTCCTGTATGTCTGTTAAATACCCAGGACGCTTGCTAACGACTCTTTAGGCTAGCAAACGTGCTGCGTTTCATGGAGTTGAGCCACCTAGCTTTGTCGTCAAAGCATCTCTCGTTACATTATCGGTGTTTATTAGATGGTAACAGTCATGATTTTTATTTAAATGATAAAATATTTAATTTGACAATATTACCTTCTGCCTGTTCCAGTGAATTCATGTCGGCTATTCCCCGCAGCCTAGCTGCACTGCTGCTTCCCCTCGGATGATAGGCACACCGGTTAGACCTATTCTGATTGGTTGTGTGATCAACAGTCACATCTGATTGGCTTAAAGAAGCCAGAAGGCAGTGCGAAGGAAAATAATGCCACTTTCTATTGGTAGTTTGCGCGTACCGAGACTTCTTCTCTGTAATTTTCAATAAATTTCTTTTGTTCAGTCATTAGCGACTATACATCTTAACTGAATGCAAATAAAAGGCATGGATATGAGGTCAAAATCTACTCGGAAAGATAAATGACGTCGGCGATGACGTTGAGTAATCTCATTGAACCTTTTCGCCTTGGAACTTTGTTGCGTATACTAGTGTATAAGCCAATAAAATTCAATCGATATAATTCAATACATATATTATTGTTGAGATGAAACTAAACTTTACCACGTTACGAACAATTGTATTTTAACGTGAAATTCAGCATAGGGAATATTATTGTTTTTGTCACTTATATTGGTGCAATAGTATCTACTGCGAGATATAATATAAATCACAGCATTTATTTCTTATTTATTAAATTTTGTTAATCATTAAAACCATGCTTTGTCTCGTTTTTTATTTTAAAGCCAAAATTGTGTTTATATTTTTTTTCACCATATCACTTATGTTTAAGATAAACCATATTTTAATGCAATGTAAATGTTTGTACTGTTATTATTATTAGTAGTAGTAGTAGCAGTATTAGTATCAATTTTGTTATAGATACGAATTACATAGAAACCGAAGAACTTCCGGTCTGTTTCCGGGTTTCTTCGGCTACAACGCATCTATAGGATGTTAAATTAAATGTTATTCAACCACTTTTAGATTCATTTTTAGCCAGCATATGTTGCCGTCGTCACTGAGTGCTAACATTTCTTTATGATCACACAGCCTTTGTTAAGTGTTGTTTGCGCATGTCAGAAGAACACGCAAGGGATCGTGGCGCTTTTGCTGAATAGTATAGGTGAGGTATGGAAGCCGTGCGAGCAAGTTACACACATTTTAGTGAATTTGTACTTAGTATTGATGTAGCAAATTACACGTTTTACAAGTACTGCTGCTAAATCTTAGAAAATTTGCGTTGTGGCCACTAGCATTTTTGCTTAATATATACTACTCGGTGACATAACGTGTTTCTAATGCATTGCTTGCTATGTATGATTTATAATGTTGATTCCACAGGTTCTTCCACGATGGAGAACACATGTACCGACACGTTCCTCATCACAGGGGGTTGTGGATATTTCGGTCACCGGTAAGATCCATCAGAAACTCAATCGCGGTAGAAGTAAACTCGTGTTACACACATTAATATGCACGTGTTGTCATCGGCTTCTGTCACTTTGCTGTACCACCGCTAGATGGTGTAAAAGTATCGATTATCTTTAACTCTCTTCCACTTAAAGTGGTAGATTTGAAAGTGAAGCTGCAAAACTTTCCTCTATTCTCTTCTGTTTGCAAAACAAAATAATGATGTACCTCAAATGTGCATATTCCGCGATGTAATGTATATATTGTTTTCCTACAGCCTGGCCTGCTCCCTGCATAAACAAGGAGCCCATGTTATTCTGTTCGACACCAATGCTCCAACCCAAGAAGTACCAGATGGCATTGTGTTTGTGCAGGGTGACATACGCATCTATGACCAAGTTGAGCAAGCCATGATGGGTGTGGATTGTGTTTTCCACATTGCATCTTACGGCATGTCTGGCAGAGAGCAACTGAACCGACAACTTATAGAGGCCGTCAATGTTCAAGGGACACGCAACGTCCTAAAGGCCTGTGTTGAGTGCAAAGTGCCCAGGCTTGTGTACACCAGCACCTTCAACGTGGTGTTCGGAGGGCAGACGATAGAGAATGGCGATGAAAGCCTCCCGTATCTGCCTCTCCATCTCCACCCAGACCACTACTCCAGAACTAAGTCCCTCGCTGAGATGGCTGTGCTGAAAGCTAATGGTGCAACATTGAAGGACAACTGCGGGCTGCTGAGAACCTGTGCACTGCGTCCAGCGGGAATCTACGGTCCAGGGGAACAGAGGCACCTACCTCGTATAGTTAGGTATATAGAAAAGGGGATCTTCAGGTTTGTTTATGGTAAACCCAACAGCCTGGTAGAGTTTGTTCATGTGGACAACCTGGTGTCAGCTCATGAGCTCGCTGCAGAGGCACTGGCACCAAAAAAGCAACACCGCTCCGCTGGCCAGGCCTACTTCATCTCAGATGGCCGACCCGTCAATAATTTTGAATTCTTCAGACCTCTGATTGAGGGCTTGGGCTATTCCTACCCAAAACTGCGTCTCCCAATCTCACTCATCTACTTTTTTGCTTTTCTCACTGAAATGGTGCACCACCTTATTGGCCCCTGGTATAATTTTCAGCCACTTCTGACTCGTACGGAAGTGTACAAAACTGGTGTGACACATTATTTCAGCATGTCAAAAGCCAAAGCAGAGCTGGGTTATGAACCTCAGGAGCACAGCCTGGACGAGGTGGTACACTGGTTTAGAAGTAGAGGTCATGGGAGAAAAGCCCACAACTCCTTCAGTCGCTTTCTCCTTAACCTGTTTTTTGTGGCTGCCTTTGTTGCTGCAGCTCTGTCTTTTCTTCCAGTTGTCGGAGGTTAAAGAGAGGCCACAGGGTTTTCATTCAATCAGACATTTTCAACAATGGTGCTTAGAAACAGATGATTCCGTGTAAAATAAGAACAATTGTTTTTTAATGGAGGTTAAAAAGGAGCCACAGGGTTTTCATTCAATCAAACATTTTCAGCAATGTATGAAAATGTGTTCCGTAAATTGCAGTTTTATAAAATGTCATTATTGACAGCTGCTTAGAAACAGATGATTCAGTGTAAAATAAGAACAATTGTTTTTTAAAATCCAGGATATTAATTTATCTTCTAATTTCTATTATTTCCTGACCAAATGAAAATGTTTATTAAAAGTTTAATCCAGGATATTAATTTCTATTTTTTTATTTCCTGACCAAATGAAAATGTTTAACTTTGTGTCATTTTTTAATGGTTTCAAAGCATATTGATGAAACTATACTCAGGAGCAAAACTTACATGTTTTACAACAGTTACCTCATGATACTAAAAATAATTGCTATCATACAGTATGAGATCCAGCAAAAGGTTGATTTTTGTATTTGAAGGTTTTATAATCAATAAAGTCTCTCTTAAAATTGATAACTCGTGTTTTTGTGTTGTGTGAACTGTAGTTTTGTTATTTTCTTATCTCTTACTCTCAAGTCTGAACTAGCTGTACTGCACAAAGGTAGCAGGGTTTTTAAATACATGGCACCACCTGCAGGGAAGGAAGAGACACTACATGCTCCACAGAATGCATTACCGAGAGCTTAAAGAGACACTACATACTCCACAGAATGCATTACCGAGAGCTTATTTTCGATTGGATTATTAAACATAATCCCCTCATAATAAGAAATCTTTATTTACATAAACATAATCCCCTCATAATAAGAAATGATAAATTTGAGTGTCTAATTTTTGCGTGTTTGTCAAAAAATATTTTTTATATTTTATTTTTTAGGACTAAAATAGTTGAATAACATAAAGAGATGAGGCAGGGTATGAAATGGTCCTGCTGCTGCTTCATTAACAGTTGCCTGCGGCTTATTTCTTGTGCCGTGGAAGACGGACCAGGTGAGGTGTAGTGTGTTCGTGTTTAGGAGAGGTTGGATGATTGCAGACGTCCCCTTCTCTCCTCTCCTAACTCTGGTCTTTCAGAGTCGGCAGCCCCTTGCTGAGTTGGTCGCAATCATTGTTTCTCTGAAGCATTAACCACATTCCAGAGAGGCACAGCGCATCCTGTCTACATCCTCGCATTCCTTTCTCGCGAACGAGTCCCTCATGTGAAATCGCATTTATTTCAAAATATCACCGGCGTCTTCTGTTCGGACCTGCTTAAAACTAATTTATGCTGTAAAAGCAATTTTCTGGGCTACTCAAATTCGTCACCGAGTGACGGCAAAACAGATCTAGATGAAAAACCAACACGGGGAAATTCCTCCGCGCAGCGCGCCATTGACTGTAAAGACCTTTCAACTTAACAAAAACTCAAGTTGACAAACGTATCCCCGTCGGCTCAAATTGTGTGTAAGAGTTTGTTTTTTTCTGTCGGCGGAGTGAGCAAAGCGGAGAGAAGACGATGCGGCACTTGGCGGAGGTTTGTTGGTCCTTCGCTGGTGGTTTTGCGTGAATGAGCAACGGCTGTAGCGCAGCGTTTTGTTTTGATTTCCATGTGAAACACAGACCGAGCTCCGCGGCGCTGCTCGCTACTTTGGCTGGCGGAGCGGAGCGAACACTCTCTCAACTTGTTTCTGCACAACATGGAGCACTACCAGGACGACCTGGGTCTGCGGGCCAGCAAGCTGGTGGAGGACCTTTCCCTTTACGACGTCTACCCAGACGGGATGTACAACTCGAGGAGAGACTTGGTGATCAGCCCGGATTTAGACTTTTCGGCTGCGGCGGTAGCGGAGCACAGAAGTGTGCCAATGAATGGCACCTCTGTGCTTCACCAGCAGCATCACACTGTGGAGAATTTCATGTCGGGAAACAAAGTGTACACCGCGGCTACTGTGCGCCCGGTGAACTGCAACCGGGCCGTCCCCGTGGATTTCTGTGCGCCGCAAAGAGAGGCGGTGTACGATGAGGACGGCTGCTGCACCAAGTCCGAGGTGGCTCTGCCGTGCTACACGGGCCCTTCACAGGAGAGACACAGCAGGAGGTACTCTCAGGAGCCGCAGGGCCACAGGTACAGCACGGGCTCCGCCTTCGACGGTGTGCCGCTCCACAAACCCGCGGCTCTCCCCGGCAACAGGTGCAACAGCGTGTGCATCACCAGCAGCCACGACGGCAGATACAACGCCACCAGCCCTCGGTCCAGCCTGGCATCGTCTCTGTCCTCCCAGGAGCAGAGCAAGCATGCCAGTCCGAGGTCGAGCATCAGCAGCCCGCGTACCAGTCTGGTAGTACCGAGTCAGGACAGATACACCAGCCCCAGGTCTAGTTTGGTCCACTGTGAAGGCAGCAGTGTCCTCAGTCCTAGATCCAGCTATGCAAGCACCGCTAGCGACACTAGTAAACATTCCAGCCCCCGGGCCAGTCTCAACAGCTGCGACTGCTGCAGCAAACCCAGCAGTAACCGCACCAGCGGCATCAGCATGGGCTACGACCAGAGGCATACCAGCCCCAGGTCGAGCACGGCGAGCCAGTACTCATTCACCACCAGCCCGAGGTCCAGCTACTCGGACTCGCGGTACGGGACCGCGGTCAACCATGATCTGGAGGGGGCAATACTGCACGCAGCGCCGATGGCGAGCCCTCGCTCCAGCATCTGCAGCCAGGACGGGAGCGCAAGACCGGGTACCACGGCAAACTCCATGGTCAGTCCCCGCTCCAGCATCTCCAGCCACAGCTCCAGAAGTTCCCGCAGCTCTAGGGGGTCCATGAGCACGTACCCCGACCTGCAGCTGCCCTCACCCAGGTCCTCGATGTTGGGGAGCAGTTTACACGAGGACACGCTGCTACAGGAGTTTGGAGACTCCAACGGGATCCAAACTCGCATCCACCTGCAGGGGCTGTCGGTGGTGCCCGAGCCCCAGCACCAGTCGCCGCAGACTGTAGGGGCTGTCGAGATGACCACGGGGTCGCCACCATCATTCAGTTACGGCGTTTCCTCCAAACCGACCTCAGCGGTTTCCCGGTTTAAGTTACCCTACCAGGTCACCCCCAGCCGAGAGAGCGGGCCAAGCCAAGCAGAGAGGAGGCTGGAGGCACTGACCCTGGAGCTGGAGAAGGAGCTGGAGATGCACATGAAGAAGGAGTACTTTGGTATGTAACATTGATTTTAATGTCAGATATATATGAAGAAATGTCCATCACTAATTATTGTTAGATGTACAGTAAATGGAATATTTTTGTAATATGTAAACACATCCAAAGTTTTGTTGTTAAACACATTATTTGTGCAAATTTGGCAAATCATTTGTACTAATAAGGCAGATAAACACGTGTGGTGCTCATTCAGTTCACTTTAGATTTGGATTCAAACCTCATGAATCAGGCTCATTCAGGTCACTTCAGATTTGGATTCAAACCTCATGAATCAGCAGCTCATTCAAACCTACAGTTTCCATTTAAGGATTCTCTACTGGGACTCTGGTACCAGGCACTAATCACTGTTGCTGTGACGCTGACCCCTTCCTTAAATGACCACATGGTTTCTACCATGGGTCCAGTAAACCCATGGTTCATTTCCCTTCTTTTGTTTGTTTGTTAGTTGTTTGTTTTTTTGGCATGACCTGCAGGTGATTTGTTTCACAGTAGACAATGAAACATTGGGCTAAAACTGTAGATCATAAGTTACAGTCACAGAGACGTTCTGTATTCTATTAGTTAGGGGGGAAATGGGACTAGCTGAATAAATCTGTGTGAGAAATGCAGCAGATGATATGAGCAGCCAACCTGAAATAGGACACTAGCACAAATCTCACATTTCTAAGAGGAAGAACACTTATAATGATGCTGTGCCACATTTATAACAGTGTTTTTTAAACACTAACTTTACATTAAAAAAAAACATGTCTCAAATTAAGTGGAAAAACTGAGATTTGGTACTTTTAATCTCAGATAGATTAGGATTACATCGTCCAGTTACTCCCTCCTCTTCCCTGCGTTTCACTTTCATCCTTTTCTGTGCCTGTAATATTTGAATCTTCCATTCTCTTTTGAAGAAAAATGCACTGTAAACTTTCTTTTATCTATCAAATATGAGAGTGGAGATAAACCTGGTGTTGTGTGGTTGGTATTGCATTTGACAGATGTTGATTTTGATTTCGCAGACACCAATAGAACTCAGATGTAATCCTGCTCGTAATGCGCTGCTAAATTGGTAAAACGTAGACAAGCTAACACTTGCAGAAATGTGTTTACATGGTGTTCTCCTCTGTTTGCAACATCCTTAGGTGAGCTTTTCCTTCGTAGGCTAAATTTCTCTTATGGCAAAGCAGAATTTTTTTCTGCTTTCTGCTCTCCCTCGTTGAATAGAGTCCTCTGTTCTGCCAGGCAGAAACCCAGGGCGGTGAGGTTTGTGTTTGCTTAAAATGCAGCAATCTTGTGGTCAAGTGTAATTTTAGAAGTACAGTCAGTATGTTACGACCACAAAGAGGTGAAGAAGGTTTTGCAAATCAGACAATATGAATGTGTTATCATCCAGGTGACAGCTAATGGACTTAAGCATTTCTTCTTTTTTATCTAATCAACAACAGATTAGATCCCAAACGTAAACGAACATTAGGGGAGAAACAGTTGTTTTGTAGATTTCTGTTTTAACAAGATTGAATAACAAGATTTGTCAAATGACGTTTCACTTACTTTCTTTTATAAAGGCCTGTGTTCTAACAGTCCCTTTAGAGCTCAGCGGCTCTGAAACAGCCACAGAAAGGCAGCGGAGGAAGTTCCTGTCTACCTTTTGAATTAGCAGCCAGACAAATGACTGAAGCCAGAAAGGGCTCGCTCTACAGCAACTGCACTCGCACGGAGACAGATGCTGATTTGTTATCCACCAGCAGGTGAGGAGAAAAGGACGGTGGACAGGAGCAAGACGGAGAAAGACGGAGCAAGACGTTGAACGTGGAGATGGAGAGAGATTAACGTAGTCAAAACGCTCCCGTCCGATACAGACGGCTCTGTTTCCGTAGCGACAGCCGAGAAATTGATCGCCAGGGATTTTTTTTTTTTTTTCTGGGATGGGGGGGGGGGGGGGGGCAGTGTTGTCCCACACTGCCTGGCTGTGCACTGCCAGCCGGCCCTTGTGTGGCCTCTGTTTGTTATGGTGGTGCTGAAGGAGCTGTGAATCAACAGCTGGCCCAATACAAGCCTGGAATTGAAGTGCCAGAGTGAGGCCCACCCCNACTGCCACACTAGCCTGAATCCCCTGCAAAGCCCTTCATTAACCAGCCAGTGGGGAGCAGGGCAGCACCAGACACTTGGCACACGATCTTGGCTGATGGGCCAGACATAGTTGATGGGGGTGAAGTCTGATCACCTGCCCAGAATTATAATGGCAGGAGTCATGCACATGCCTGACGCACACATGCTGACTTACGTGCAGCAGCGCACTGCTCTGCTCAATGTGTCGTCCTGCGGCCTCCGTTAAACTTTTCGTGAGTGTAGCCAGTATTATGTCGTTGGCCAGGGCTGCCCACAGGTTGTTTTTTTTGGCTCAGGAGCTACTATTTAACTGACCAGGTTAAAGTGACATTGAAATATATTCATTTAGACCATGTAGGGACTTGATGTCTTGGTTTAAGAGCGAACGTTTTTAGGCAGATACCACCTCGTACTGTACTAGACTGTGTAATCTCATTGTGAGACCAGTGACTTTTTGAGATAACGCAGTCTACTCTGTACGCCTTGGGGTGCAATTTTTTTCATTTCAACCAATATGAATTGTCACGCATCTTTTTTTAATTTCAACCGATATGAATTGTCACGCATTTGTATCGATTCCTAATCAGTTCACGAAGCATCGTTACATCCATAATCACAGTGGAAAGCGACAACCAAAGATCAGAAATCTAACTTGTAATCTTTAATCTGGTTTTATTTTAGTGCTCTTAATTTGGAAACAGGTTTGGTTAAAATGTTTTGAATTCAAATCACAATAATGTTTCAGTGTAACAGGACTATAATCATTACGTCCAACAGTGAAATCTGTTGTTTAGGTCCCAGTTCAGCTCACAGCGCCGACACAGCCACAGCTACAGGGTTGTTATGAAACATAAGAGACGCCAGAGATTCAGCGTCCAGTTTGAAATGATTAACAGGAGAGCTGTTGAACTGCGTGATATGATAAACACCTCCTCACTCGAAAACTGAAGGGCCACAGATCACGTGTGGAGGTCATTACCTATAATTCTTGTTTGCTTTTTTTTTTTACTTTCAGAGCTGATTATTTTATTACCGTTAGTGATAAGTAACTCATGTCGTTGTGACGTGACATCACCTGGACATTGATGAGTCACTTCGTGATATTCTTCCACACCTCCAGTGTCGCCATAGGCTAAGTAAACAAAGTGTACTGTACTGGCTACATTACATTAAAAAAAAATCATGAACGCTCTCTTTAACTCTTTTATCTGATAAAAATCCAAGAAATCGTAAAAATGAGTTGATAAGTGACTGCTCTCACTTTATCACAGTTTTGATAATGTCCGTGAGGATGTGATACACCATGGACAGGTCACCAGTCCATCACCAGGTTACATAAAGAGACAAACAAGCGATCGCATTCATGTCTGCTGTGGTCGGTTTAGAGCAAACAATTAAAATGAAACAACTTCATTTCATCGCAGCACCTATCGTAGGGGGTTCGATCTCTTCCTCAACTCAGACCTGAAGACCAACGCAGACACTGACTGTTTATTTGAATTGGGACGGCTGAGGTGTGAGTCAAGTTGGGAGGCAACATGTTGCTGTACGGTGTCACTAGAGAGGAGGAAACGTGACTTTGCCCCAGACGATTCAATAGACAACCCAATACTGTTGAAACAGAATCTTCCTTGTGTTTAGGTGTGAATCATTTACATTTAATGCAGC